CGGGCGGAGAGCGAGCGCGGGCTGCCGTTTGGGGAGGGGCGCCCGCCGGGCCCGCGCGGCCGCTCGGGGTCCCGGGCCTGTGTGCGGGCGCCCGGGCAGTGGGCGGCTCGGACGGGGCTTGTTCCCTGCGGCCGGCGGGCCCCGGGCAGCCCCGGCGCTGGCGGGAGCCGGCTGGGCCGGACGGAGGTGCCCCGCGCGCTCAGGACACGCACCTGCCGGCGTCTCGTGCTCCCCGGACGGCGAGGCCGGCGGGAGACGCCCCCGAGAGGCGCGCCCGGCCCCCGGCTAAGCTCGCCTGCCCAGCTCTGGGGGCCCCGGGGCCGGCCTGTGCGGGGCCCCCGGCGCGCGCCATGGGCCGCTGGTAATGGACGGCGCGGAGAAGACTCGACCCTGCCGCGTCCGTGTTCGTTCGAGGGTCTAAAGTCCCTGGAGAATGACCTAGCACTTCCCGGCCCCACCGGCCTCTCGAGGGCCCCCGTGGACGCGCCGGCCCGCCTCGAAGCTGCGAGGCCGGGCGGCCCCCAAACTTGGGACGCTGCGCACGCCCGGTTGCCCGGGCTCTGGACCAGGCGCGCCTCTTGAACTCACGTTCAGTACAATCGTTTCTTTTCCAAGAAGGGTTTTCCTTTTTTTTTTTTTTTTTCCTTTTTTTGAGATTTTGTTGACTTTTATTTTTGAAGAAGGGAATTTGGGGGGGGGGTGACAAACGGAAGAACCGTCCACCGCGAAGCTCAGAAAGGGGATAAGGGACCGCCGGCGGGAGTCGGAGGCCTGGGGTCTAGGATGGAGGTGGCGGACCCGCAGCAGCTGGGCATGTTTACAGAGGGCGAGCTGATGTCGGTGGGGATGGACACGTTCATCCACCGCATCGACTCCACCGAGGTCATCTACCAGCCCCGCCGCAAGCGGGCCAAGCTCATCGGCAAGTACCTGATGGGGGACCTGCTGGGGGAGGGGTCGTACGGCAAGGTGAAGGAGGTGCTGGACTCGGAGACGCTGTGCCGGAGAGCCGTCAAAATTCTCAAGAAGAAGAAGTTGCGGAGGATCCCCAACGGGGAGGCCAACGTAAAGAAGTAAGTGCGGGCTTCCTGGGTGGGGGCGCGGCCCGCTGGGCGGCCCCCTCCTTCCTCCTTTCCTCCCTTTCTTCTCCCTCCATTTCTCGCTTTCTTCCTTTCGTTCTCTCTTTCCTTAAGCACCCGAGCCGACCAGCCGGGGAAGGTCGTGGGCAATTCGCTAGGGTACTTTGGTGAAGTCAGGCTAGCTTGTTGCGGTTGGGCGTCCTGTGCTCTCGGCCGATGCGGAACCCTCCTCGGAAGGGGGCGCCCCTCACCCCCTCTGCCCTCCCGGCTGTCCGGAGGGCTGAGGTGCCCGGCGGAAGCGGCCGGCGTTGGTTTGGCTGAGAGCAGTTGGGCTCGGAAAGGGGCCTGCCCGCCTCCGGCAGGTTTCCGCGCAGCGCGCGGCTCTTAGTAGGGCAGGGGACACGCGGTTTGTTTATCCTGTTGGAGGGGGACCTTGCGGTTGCCAAAAATAATTGTTTGCACCGGCTTATCAGTCAGCAGGGGGGAACTTCGCCCTTTCTCACTTTCCTGGGATGTGACACAGGACACTTTGGCGATTCGCAGGCCCGGTGACTCCTGAGAAGGGGGTCGACTTGTGACCCCGCAAACTTTTTCACGTATTTTTTCAGGCACCCGTCTGCCCCTTGACATCCCAGAGATGGTGGGGTTTATGTGCAGACCCCACCGCCGCCAGGACAGTGGGAGCCCTGCCTCCATCCCTCTTGCTGGTTTCAGGAGGGGCCACCCCTACTTATCGCTGCTGCCCTGCCCGAGCCGAGGGGTTTATCTCACGGGCCAGGCGGCAGCGGGACTGGCTGGTTGGTGACCTTGGCCGGTACTGGGAGTGCTGCTCCCAGATCCACTTTCATTCCCTCCTCCTGGCCCCCCTGCTCTCATGTAGTGTGACAGCGCGCTGCCCAGCTGTTTTCGCCTGCTCTGGGCTGCCTAGGGTGGTCAAGTCGGGGAGCATGGTGCTGAGACCTGATTGGCTGTGGTCAGTGCCCCAGCTGTGGACCCCCAGCGAAGGTGGGGCCGGGTGCCCCAGGGCCAGTTGTTCAGTTCTCTGTGCCCGTCTCTTACCTGCAGGGTGGGGGTGGGGCAGGGGCCACCGGTGTCCCGGGGAGACAGGCCAGGAGACAGCGGATGCCCTCCTGTGGGCCAAGCGAGGCCACGCCTCTGATCAGATCCCCACTCCCTGCTTCTAAGTCACATTTTCTTATTAAGGCAGAAGCGTGTGGGGGAGACGTGGCCCTCGGGATGCCAGTTGGCCGTTGCTCCGAGTTGGGCCCCCCCGCTCTCCAGGGCTGGTCCTCGTCCTCCTGGCTCCTCTTCGGCCTCATCCCTGGATCTGTCCAGGGAACGCGGTGCTGTGCTCTTGCAGACTGGATGCACCCTCCCTCCGCCTGAGGTCAGCCTGGGTCCGTGGAGGTGTTCTGGTGCCGGTGCTTTATGCTGGGCTGCTTTGGCACCCCAGGCCCCAGCCTCTTGGGAGTAGCACCCCGAGGTAGGAGGGGTTCCCAGAGCCCGTCCCCAAGGGGCCAGGCTGCTTTCCAGCCCCAACTGATCTGTCTGGCTAGAGTCGCCCAAGCCCACCCTGCTGGCCATCCCTGGGGCTTCAGGGAGTGCACGCGTCCAGGGGCGTGGACTGGGGGCAGCAGAGCTGAGTGGGTCCCAGCACATCCGCAGACACGATGGAGGTGTCGAGCGCCCACTTCTGCCAAAGCATGATGTACACGTGATAAAGGCCCTTCCCACATGCAAATGCACATGCTCAAGGTCAAGTTAGGGGACATTCGTTCACCACCCAAAGCGTACCCTCGCGCTCTGCTGCCCCACTGGAGGGTCGCAGCCTGCTGGCTCCCAGTCCTCGTTTCCTGAGCGGTCAGCCATGGTCCCAGGAGCTGTGGAGACACAGTGTCCATCCGAAGAACCGGAGGGGAAACTGAGGCCCAGGAGGCAGAGTGGTTGGCGGTCCACAGCCGGCCTGGCAGTCAACACGAGGTGTCACAGCTGCAGGGCCTGGGCAGGTTCCTCCAGCTTAGCCCTAGAAGCGCAGGTCTTCACCTCTCTGAGGCCCCTTGGAGCGCAGCGCTGGCCCTGTGCGTTCGTCTGCCGTCTGCAGCGTGTGGCGTGAGGACTTGCTGGATATGCGGCTGCGGGTTAAAACCCACCGCGCCTCCTTCCTTGGGTGCTGTGAGGGGGCGCGCCCTGCTCGGAGGCACCCTGTCCCCTTGTTCTGAGTCCTGACAGAGTGCCCCGGGTTGGAGGCCGGAGGAGGTGAGGCCCTGGGCTCAAGCAAGGGCTGGGTGTCCACTCCCTGGCCCAGAGATCCAGGCTTCTGGGTCAGCCTTGCCGCCAGGCGGCTGCAGGGAAAAAAGGCTCCTTTGTCTTGGAGAGACTTAATGAACTCAACTCCAGACTCTTCTCTTGGAGTGAAGCATCCAGAATTTTCCAGACAAGCCTCAGGAGTCCTCCAGCTCCAGTTGGGATGGGAAGCTTTTCCTTAAAGAATGCACTTTGTGTTAAAGGAGGTCCTCCCCCCTTGTGGCTCCTCCCAGGAGGGCTGCTGTGGGTCTGTGCTTGTCCCCCTCTTGCTCACAAAGACTAATTTGCTCTTATTGTAAAACACGAAAGTTCTGAAAACCACCGAGAAGTAAGACAGAAATTACTCATCGTTTTAATACTAATGCCTTTGCCACACTCCCTTTGAGCCTTTCTTTAGCATGTTTTCGTTACCTATCCAAGCACTTTTTAATGAAAAATTAAACTCCTCTAAAGATCATTTTCAACAGTAAGTTGTACCTGCTTGCTTTCCCGGTTGGCAGCAGAAGCCGCGCTGGCGCCTCCTTGGCTGGGGGCAGCCGTGGGGTTTCGCACCCATACAGACGGTGGGCACACGGCCCTCTGACGCAACCCCCCGGGGAAGTTGGGTGGCAGATGGGCCCCGCTCACGGGATTCTCACCTGTCCCAAGATACTGTTCTTTGTGGGCTTTCATCAGCTGTTTAGAAGCGTACAGCGGCCAGGGCAGTCTGTGTGCCCCACGGCCCGTCTGTGTGAGGGCAGGTCAGGGTCTGTACCCAGTGTATGCGGGGTGTGGGCACTTAGCCGTGCGGGGCCGGCGCTGGGCGGCTCGCGGCCCTGCCAGCCTCCTTCATCGGCGTCCCTGCCCGTGTGGCTGGGGCCCAGCAGGCCGACGCCAGTCTCTAGGCTGGGCCTCCCTCGGCCAGGCCAGTAGCGACTGGCAGGTACTTAAACCTGGGGGGTGAGTGGTTGGGATTTTAGCACGTGCAGCAGAGCCTGGACTTTGCTGGCCTTTGTTCCCGTCCTGAGTGGCCTCTGCCAGGTCCTGGCATCTGCTGGGGCACCTGCCCCCCACCCCCCATTGGGAAGGATTCTGCCTTGAGGCCAGGCTGGCAGCGATAGGGCACGGCTGGTCCACTGAGGCGCCCCGCACTGAACGTCCTCGCGGCCTCCCTGTCTGGTCCTTCCCTGGCCAAGGGGGGTGACTGTGAGGTGCAGTGGGAGCTCAGGGGCCATTGGGATACACCCCAGGCTGTGGCGCAGCGGGTGGGGGGGGACACTGGCTCCTCACTCAGGAGTGTGTTGGGAATCACAGCAAAGCTGGCCTTTATCCCATGTTGACCTCGTGCTGCACGGCGATTTGTTCTTTTAATGGCTTTAATGAGACATAATTTACGTGACGTAGAATTCACCTATTAGCGGGTAACTCAGTGTCGTTTAGCATTTGCAGAGAGTGCAACCATAACCTCTAATTCCAGGACATCCCTCCCATCCCCTCAGCAGGAACCCCGCCCCCATCAGCATCCACTCCCCCAGCCCCTGACAGCCAGGAACCCACTCCCGGTCTCTGTGGATCTGCCTGTTCTGGACGTTTCCCACCAGTGGAATCACACACCGTGGGTCCTTCTGTGTCTGGCTTCTCTCACTGAGCATCGTGTTCTCAGGGTCCGTCCACGCGGTAGCGAGTGTCAGTGCTTCACCCCTTTTCAGGTGATGTTCCCGGGTGTGGAGGGATGTGGTGTATCCACTCAACCGTCAGTGGACATTCGGGTTGTCCCCACTTGGTGCCCGTTAGGAATTGTGCTTCTGGGAAGCTGCGTGAGCGATTGTGTTGAACTTCACTTTTAGTGAATTCCTCCTCATTTTAGTCTCTCTCCCAGATCCCCGATGGCCTCTTGCCATATGATTAGAAGCATCAGCAGAGAGGCCAAGGGGTGAGGGGGGTCTTGCTCAGTGTCCCTCGTCCAGAGCTGCCATCGTCCCCTCCCCTGTTGTCTGTGGACCCATGCCTGTCACCATCCCCGTCTGGAGGGAATGAGGTGGGTGCATCCCCGGCGGCTGTGGGATGGGCGACCGTGGTGGCAGCTCCTTTCCATTCCTCTGTGAGCTCCAGGGGCTCTTCCGTTTCCCTCCTGGGTAGTCAGCGAGTCCATCCCCAGCAGTCTGCTCTGCTCAGGCGGCACTGCAGGCAGGTCCCTGTGACACCCGCCCTGAGCAGCTGCGGCCGGGCCGGAAGGCTCGGCTTCCTGTCACTTTACTTCCTGCATCCTGGCTGAGCGCCTGGCTTTTCCTCTTTCTTTAAATACTGTTTTTCTATTTTCCGGTCAGTGGTGTGCCTTGTAGGAGACGGAGAACTCAGAGAAGATGTAGCAGCTCCTCCCTGGCCGGGTCTCTGCAGTGAATGTCTCGGGGGTCCTCCTGCACGCCCCTTTTACCCGCTCGGAGCGCACATCTCCATGCCGCCTGTGGGTGTGGTTCTCCTCTTTCGGAGGAGCTGGACACTGTAGCCACTTCTCTGGTATCCATACTGGAACTTACACATTTTTCTCCAGGAGGTTTCCATCACGGTTAACTGACCACATGAGCGCTCGACGCACCCACAGCGCGGGGACCTCCCTTCAGGGCTGGCTTTGTCGGCGTCGGAGTAGGGGGTGAGCTGTTTAATTGTGGAGGGAGGGGTGCTGCCGTCCGCCTCCTCCCGCACAGAAGTTTGCCCCAAAGGCAGTGGGCGGATGGGGAGGCGCGGCCCGGAAGATGGTTCCAGGCCCAGGTATCTCACGGCACAGAAGGCAGAGCCGTGGGGCTTGTCCTCGCTTTGGAAGGCCTGGGGTGAGCTCCCCGGGGCCCCTGGACTAGCCGCGGGCCCCCCTCCCGGAGCTGCCACGCATGTTATTGGCAGCCTGCGTCTGCGTTCAGGCGGGTTCCCACACTTGGGTCGGCAGACGCTGCTTGAAGCCTGGCTGTAAGCGCTCCAGGTGGTGGCCACGTGTTGGCTCCAGGTACGAAGGGCCTTCTGGTGTCCACACGTGCGGTTTAGTTAGCCCCTGCAGCGCCTCTGGATGGAGACGAGAGGGAGAGTGCCCGGAGCCAGCTTCCCGGGGAGGCTGGCACAGGGTCAGAGTCTACGCTGGGCCCTCCCTCAGCACCCCCAGCTTGTAGCTCGTGACAGCTTGCTCCCCATGTGACACCCTTCTCTTCTGGGCCTCAGACCCCATGGCGGCTCTGGCCAGGTAGCTCAGCGGGTACTTGGCTGGCTGGGTGGACGGCAGGTGCCAAACACTGGTCTCTGAGGGGAGCCGGCTCTGCACCTGCCCCTGGAACCCCTGCCCCTGGGACCCCTGCGAGGAGGAGTTCTGTACTCAGTCCTGGCAGGGACCCCAAAGGCCTGGTCACCACTGTCATGACAAAGGCTGCTGTACCGTGTGGCCCGGGGCAGCCACCAGCCCTCGACTGTCAGAAAGGGAGGGGACTTGCCCGCGGGGGAGGGTCCTTGAGTCACCAGAGCCGAGCTCTGGCCCCGGAGAGCTGGCAGCAAGCAAGGCTGGGAGTCAGAGCTGTGGGGTGGTCTGGGCGAGAGCGGGACGGATGCCTGGGGGCACAGCGCTGCTCCCTGATAAGTGGTGGTGGACCCGGAGCGTCAGAGGTGCACCCAAGCCCCCACGGACAGGGCACCCACCTGACCGGGGCCTGACCCACAGGGGCCTGGTAAGGCCCGTCCGTTGCAGGACTGAGTGAGTGAGTGGGCTCTGGGGGACCAGCACTGGGGCCCGAGGTGGGAAGGTTCAGGGAGCACTTGCCAGAGGTCAGGAGGGGCTCACAGGCCAGAAGGGGCGGTACAGAGTCTGCTCCCCACACCCCAGGACGTTCCTGGTCCTTTATAGCAGGACTCTCACCTGGGCCGTCTTGCCCCCAGGGATACCTGGCGATACCTGGGGACATCTGTGGTTGTCACGATGAGGGAGGGGGGCTCCTGGCATCAAAGGGGTGGAGGTCAGATGCTGCTCCACACCCCATAGAGCCCAGGACACCCCAACGTCACAGTGCTGAGGCGGAGCTACTGTGTGTCATTTATTTGGGGGAAAATTGAGTGTGATCCCTGTTCACACTGGACACCAGGCTAAATCCCAAAGGTCAGGCGGTGTAAACCAGGGTGACCCCAACGTCTGTGAGTCTCCTCCCCTCCCTCCCACTCAGGTGTGGATTGAAATGTGTGCAGCATCCCAGACCTCAGAGGTCAGGTGGTTAGGGATAAGCGCGGAATGATGGGGGGAATGAGGGCAGAGTTACTGCTGTGACCCGCAACCCTCTGGTGAGGGTGGGAGTGGGGTGGGGGGCAGACAGGCAGTGAGCTCACGGGAAGCAGCTGTAAAGCTGTGTTTCCTCCAGCAAGTCGGTGGCCTCCTGTGCTATGGGTCTGGGGAGTGGGTGCTACACAGAAATGCTGTTTCCGGGGCACCCTCCCTTCAGAGGCTGCATGAGTGCCGGGCCGGGGAATCTGCATGGGAGGAGGACCTACGCTGGGGAGGGTGGGTGGTGTCAAAGGCACAGGATCCGCGCTGGTGTGCGAGGGTGGGGTGTGGTCAGGAACGGCTTCCTGGAATAGGCGACCTCTTCATGGAATGTGGACAGTGGGAGGCATGCGCCTCGGGTCTCATGACGTTGGGGACCCCTCACCTGCCCGGCTGGTCTTATGTTTCATGGTTGGGCTTCCCGGTGAGGACTTTAAAAAATCTTTATTGACGTATTATTCACATACCATGCAATTCGGTGACATTTAGTATCTTCATAGCAACTCTCATCTTTGTCTAGTTCCAGAACATTCCGTTACCCCAAAAGGAAGTCCTGTCCTTGTCAGCAGTCACCCCATCCCATCCCCAGTCCCTGACAGCCAGGAACCCACTCTCTGTCTGTAGACTGGCCTGTTCTGGACGTTTCCCATCAGTGGAATCACACGCTGTGTGTCCTTCTGTGTCTGGCTTCTCTCACTGAGCATCGTGTCCTCAGTGTCCGTCCACGCTGTAGCGAGTGTCAGGCTTTCACCCCTTCTCAGGGTTGAGTGATGTGCCCGTGTGTGGAGGGACACTGGAGTTGTATCCGCCCTTGGGCTCCCGTGGACAGTGCCGCCATGAGCACGTGTGACCGGGTCGCCGTGCTCTCGGTCCTCCCGGGCACGTGCCCTGATTGGAGGTGCTGGGTCAGTTGGTGACTGTTCAACCTTCTGTGGAGCTGCCCGCCCTCCCCCCCCCTCCCCCAGCTCCTGCAGGGAGTCCTCGTGGAGCTGCCCTGACAGCGGCGGGGAGCCTGGGCTTCAGTTCCAGAGGGAGGAGTGGGTGGGGGGATGCGGGGACCTGGCTGGAGCCCCAACTCCCGCGTGCTCTCCTGCTGTCCCCTCGTGGCCTTCGCTGTGGTCTCTGTGCATCTTCAGTTAAAATGCGGGTACGGGGCCTGGTCGTGTTGCTGGGCTCGGGGGCATGCCCAGGACTAGCTGCCCCTGTGCGGAGCTGCTCACTCCGGTGCTGCCCTCTGCACGGTTCCTGGGGGCTGGCGGCACTGCTGGGCCGCGGGGCTTGGCTGACGCCTCCGTCCTCTGTCTTCAGGGAAATCCAGCTGCTGAGGAGGTTACGGCACAAAAACGTCATCCAGCTGGTGGACGTGCTGTACAACGAGGAGAAGCAGAAGATATATCCTTTTGGGGCTCGGGGTGCCAGGTGTTCCCTGAGCGCTGCCGACCTTGGGGCTGGGGCCCCTCTCCAGTGAGTGCCCACGGGGGGCGCTGCAGGATGCAGGCTGGTTCTCTGCTGAGACCTCCTGTTCTCATGTGGAGCTGGGGCCCTGCTGTCAGCCTGGTCCCTGGAGCGGGACGCTTTCCTGGCTTCTGTTTGGGGGGCTGTGCGCCCTGGCCTGTGGTGGATGCATGGGGGAAGGGATGGGGAGTGTGTCACTGCGGCAACGGTGTACTGGGAGTGTCCTCGGCCTTCGCCCTTTACTCCTGGACTGCAGCTCCGAGAAGCAGGGTATAGGGGGCCCGGGGGCCTGCTGAGGGGCCTGTGTCGCAGAGGGGCCTGTCACTGACTTGCTGGTTGCAGGGTGATGGGGGTCCTCTCCATCCTAGTCGCAGGGCTGCCCCTCCACGGTGTAGATGCGGCTGGGGGGCTTCAGCCTGGCCCTGGGCTCCCCACCCCTGCTCCGCAGCCCCACCCCTGTGCTGCCCTCGTCTCTCCCTGGCCTCCCGCCCCTGCTCAGGCCTTCTCTTCACAGGGCCAACACGCCCCTCCCTCCTTTGGGGGCCAGGGCTGGGGCTTGAGCTCCTCCTTGGGGTGTGGAATGACCGGGGGGCTTCCTGCAGCACCTGTGATCCTTCTGGGGTCTCCAGCTCACTGCACTAGTTCAGCCTTCACCCCCTAGCACCTGTCTGTTCCCTGGGGATGGCCCATCTGGGGCAGGGTCTTGGCTGAGCGTGCTTTCCTTAGCACTGCCGCTGCTGCACGTATATGGTGATGGAGTACTGCGTGTGCGGCATGCAGGAGATGCTGGACAGCGTGCCCGAGAAGCGCTTCCCCGTGTGCCAGGCCCACGGGTGAGCGTGCGGACCCCACTGCTGCCCCCTCCGCCCCCGCCCGGTCACTCACGGGTCCAAGCGTTCGAACAACTTAATTCTGATCATCAGTGAAATGAAAGCTCAAGTATGTTTCAAAACTCAGGGCTTTGGGGCTCAGTATGCAGTCCCGCAGCCCCACAAGCTCCTCTCTATGCACCTCCCTGCCCCACTGTGGCTGCCACCGAGGCTTTGGGGCCTCCTGTGCTTGGGAAGCTGCTGACAGCGGCCTGTACTGCCCCAGCTGGCTAGTTCTCCTGGGCAGTCAACCCCTAACACCCAATTGCTGTAGGACCAGCTGGCCTGTGGCGTGAGGGGTCAGTGGGTTGGCCTGGGTCCCTGGCCCCAGGGGGGACGGGGTGCAGCAGGGCTGTATCCAGGCCACAGAGGTTGGGGTGATAGCAGGGCCCCTGGGCTGCCCGGGCTGGGGGGGCAGCTGGGGCAGGTGCCCGTGGTGGGAGCTACTGCAGCGGGGGCCCAGGAGTGGCTCAGCCCAGCCACTGGCCCTCTGGTTCCCTGATGGGCTGCCCGGCACCGACGGCCCCTGAGCCTCAGGCTCCCATCCTTGGTCCCGCTGGGTCGCTGCAGACAGCCATTCCAGGCAGCTGAGGTTCCCGACAGGTGGGGCCGCGCCTCTTGGTGCGGTGGGTCACAGAGGTTGTGCCCTGCAGGTACTTCTGCCAGCTGGTGGACGGCCTGGAGTACCTGCACAGCCAGGGCATCGTGCACAAGGACATCAAGCCCGGCAACCTGCTGCTCACCACGGGTGGCACGCTCAAGATCTCCGACCTGGGCGTGGCCGAGGTAGGTGCCCCCACCCCCAAGCCGGGCCCAGGGTTGCTCACCACGGGTGGCACGCTCAAGATCTCCGACCTGGGCGTGGCCGAGGTAGGTGCCCCCCACCCCCAAGCCAGACCCGGGGTGGGGTCCCAGCCCCGCCGAGGGCCGCTCCCTGAGGGCTGTCTGACGCTGCTACAGGCCCTGCACCCGTTTGCCGAGGACGACACGTGCCGGACGAGCCAGGGTTCCCCCGCGTTCCAGCCGCCCGAGATCGCCAATGGCCTGGACACCTTCTCTGGCTTCAAGGTGGACATCTGGTCAGCTGGGGTCACACTGTAAGTGCCCCTGGGCCTGGGTCCCTCCACCCCAGGGGTCCTCCCTCACCCCGCCTGGCCCCAGGTACCCTGTCTGGGCTCCAGGCTTCCCTGACCTGCCCCTCCTGGCAGGTCCCCCAGCTGCTGCCGCCCCCTAGAGTCTGTGAAGGCCACAGAACCGGGGTCAGGAGCCCCCATGGGTGGGGGGACAGGCACTGGGACCAGCCGTCCTCCTGGCCCCCGCCCACCTTGGGCTTGTGCTGGTCTCCACCTGCACTGCTTCCCACACCGGCCACAGTCGCTGTTGGGTGGGTGTTTCTGTCCTGACTCCTGGGGCTGAGAATTCTCAGACACCATGAGTCGCCGGCGATGCTCGGCCCACCGCTGCGTACCCCTGACCCAGACGCCGCCACGTGGTCGTCTGTTCCTCCATGAGCTCAGGCGGCACTGAGTGGGCCTGTGTTCTCTGGAAGCCTCCCCTGCCCGAGGCGAGTTCATGCTGCAGCCCCCTGTGCGCGCAGCCGGTGGCGTGGGTGTCCCGTTTCATGTTACTGAGAGCTGACTCATATACCGTTGACCCACCATGTCAGAGCGTGCCATCCGGTGGCTTTCCATATCTTCCTAGTGAGCCGCCACCACCATGTGTTCCAGAACATTCTCCTCACCAAGTCCAAGTCCCCACAGGTGGGGGTGGTTAAGGTTCGGGACCAGGCTGGCTCCAGGCTGGGGCGCGAGGCAGGCCCTCCTGACTGGTCTGTCCTTCCCGGGGCCACAGCTACAACATCACGACAGGCCTGTACCCATTCGAGGGGGACAATATCTACAAGCTGTTTGAGAACATCGGGAAGGGGGACTACACCATCCCGGGGGATTGTGGCCCCCCACTCTCAGACCTGCTCAAAGGTGAGGCCCTCGAGGCAGGAGGTTGGGCTGTAGGGGTGGGTGGGGGGGGTGGGCTGGCGGCGGGGGGGGGGGGGGCCGGGGGGGGGGGGGGGGGGGGCTCTTCCTGCTGCAGTTCCCGGCCTGTACAGCAGGTGGCGCTGTCTGTGTATGGCAGGGGCTTGTCTAGGTGTGGATGGGTGGGAGCCACACCAGCATCCTGGGGCTTGCCTGAAGTTAGTTTTGATGACGCAGCACATGCAGGGTATCGCCCTGTGTGACCGGCACCGTCCTAGGTTCCCTGCCCACAGTCCCCAGGCTCTGTGTAACTGGCCTGACCCTCGGCTTGTGCTGGATGCTGGGCCAGTGCCCGGCCTTCGTGTGATGCACAGCCAAGAGGATCTTTACAGTCCTGCGTGGCGCCTGAGCTTTCTGATGACTGAGTCTCGCCGGTTCTTTGGCTTGTTAGTGAAGGTGAAATGAAGCTGGGCAGCCGCGTTCCCAGTGCTCTGCGGCCCCCCCCCCCCCACCGCAGTCCAGGCCTGCATTGCCAGCTGCCCCAGGACCCTCAGAGGGGTGGGCATACCGCCTGCCTGGGGTCTTCTTGGAATGTGGGAGGAGCCAGCAAGCGGGAGGCGGTGGCCCGGCTGGCTCGGTCCCAGCCCTCCCCACCTGAGCGCTCCTTAGCAGCTCGTGGGCCCCGTCCTTGGGGGTGCCCGGAGCGTGCCCCCTGGCTCCCCCAGCTCCACTGAGGGCCGAGGGCTGTTGGAGGCGGTGAGCTGTTGTTTTGGACTCTCCTTCCCTCGCCAGGGGCTGGTGGGTTGGAGTTTCCTCTGTACGGAGCTTTCTTTGCTCCAGTGACACAGATGATGATCTGTTGCTACCCTCGCTCTCATAAACGCTCAAAACAGCCCCAAGAGGGGCCGACGAGATGGCAGAGGGCACCCGTGTCCCTGTCCCCAGATCCAGGCAGGGTGTCCCATTCTCGCTTCCTCCGCCCAGGCCTGCCTCGGGGCCTTTGCACTGCACTCCGCATGCAGGCTCCTCCCGGCCACTGGGCTGTTGAGCCGCCTCCCCCGTGAGTCTCTGGAACACCGCGCTGGCCCTGTCCTCCTGCAGCGAGCCCGCGACCCTGACCTTTCCTCCTCTCTCACACCACTCAGACACTCAGCTCTCTGAGCCCCAGCTTCTGAAATGGCCTCTCGTTTCCTGAGAACAAAGGCACCTCCAAGAGGTGGTGTGCAGAGCCCTGCTGCCCCCATCCCCCTCTCTGCGTCACGCTCGGTCCTCCCGTGGGGAAGGGGGTGGGCACTTGAGCATGGTGGGGGCTGGGGACCTCGGGCCCTGGGCCCCCTGCAGCCCTGCGGGGGGGGGTGCCGCCCTTTGCTGCTTCGGGCCAGCCCAGCACAGCCTGCAGGTCAGCTTTGCCCCTTCTGAGTGTCCGGGTGCCGGGCAAAAGGCTCTCACACCAGTGTCTACATACGGTGTGTTGCCCTCGAGGCCTCCGGTTCTCCTGCCGCCGCCTCGGGGGGCTTTGGTGTCCTGGCTAGAATGGCCAGTCACAGGCTTTGCTGGCCAAAGCCGGTGGGCACCAGCAGGGGCGAGCCATGTGCTTTGTCTCCTTAGGGCGTGTGGACAGGTTCAGGGTCACTGGGGTGGGCTGTCCATCCTGCGTCCCAGCCTTTTCTGGTCTTGGTCCTCCCAACCTGGCTTTGCAGTGTCTGCCGGGCAGCCCCTCGTGTCAAGACAGGGAGATGGCCCCAGCTGTGTCCTTCTCCGTTCAGCTGGGGGCTTAGCATCTGCCCCCATGCTGGGCGCCCGGCTGTAGAGGCCAGGCCTGTGGGGGAGGGGGCTCCGTTCACTCACGCCACCCCCTCCCCTGTACGGGCACCCACGGGCGTCCCCACCTCTCCCAGGCAGGGGAGGGCCCTCGGCCCGTGCTAGCCCCTGCACCCACCGCTGGTCTCCCCGGCAGGGATGCTGGAATACGAGCCGGCCAAGCGGTTTTCCATACAGCAGATCCGGCAGCACAGGTGAGTCCCTGTGGGGCTCCCCCACTTGGGGGCCCATGTGGTGAGAGCGAGTGGGGGCAGGGGAGGGGGAGGTCAGGGCTGCGGGGGTCTTGCTGGCTCAGTCTCTCCCGTTGGGCCCCTTCTCCCTCCCCCACCCCGCGTGGTTCTCAGAGGGAATTGGGGGTGGGCCCATGTGGTAAGCCAGGCAAGCCTCCGGCTGCCCTGACCCGCCGGCTTCCGTAGCTGGTTCCGGAAGAAGCACCCGCCAGCCGAGGAGCCGGTGCCCATCCCGCCGAGTGCGGACTGCAAGGACCGGTGGCGCGGCATGACAGTGGTACCCTACCTGGAGGACTTGCACGGCTGTGCCGACGCTGCGGATGACGAGCTCTTCGACATTGAGGACGACATCATCTACACTCAGGACTTCACGGTGCCCGGTGAGTCCCCGGGGGTCACGGGAGAAGTGGGGAGGCCCCGCCCCCAGCCCGAGGGTCCGGTGGCCCTCCCCGCAGTGGCCACCCTTCTGACGAGTGGCCTTCTTCCCCAGGTGGCGAGGAGGCGTCTGAGGCAGGGCTTAGAGAGAGAGACCCGCAGGAGAGCCAGTGCTCAGACCTTTCTGGAGAGGAAGCTGAGGCCAGGGCCGCCGAGGAGCTCCGGGCAGAGCCCGGGCCCTAGTGTAGCGCTGTCCCACCCGCCTCCCCGCGGTGCTGTGCTGTCCCGGGGCTGGTTCCGCAGGCTCCTGCATAAAGGTCTGCCCCACTGAGCGTGTGCGGGTCATGCTTGTTTCCTTCCGGCTCGCCGGCCAGGGCTTAGGCGTTTACTGTAGAAAGAGCCCGTGTGCAGGGTGGCCAGTGGGGCCTCCAGGGAGCAGCCCCAGGGTGGGTCCGCGTGTCCCACTCTCCTGGGGGCACACTCAGGCCTCTGGTGCATCTGACTGCAGCTGTTCCCCATGGGGTCCTGGGGTCAGGTGGGATGCCCCGCCCTGGGAACCCTGGCCACGGTCCAGTCCTGAGGCCTCCTGGATCCTCCATCCTTTCCACAGGATAGAAGCAAGGTGTCCTGTCTCTCAGAGGCACTAGGGCCCCGGGACAGGTGCCTGGGCGTGAGCCTTGCTGGTCAGCCGGCCTGTAGAGGCACTGACCACACACCGTCTCTTCAGGCCTGTTCCAGAGGCTTGGGGCTGCTTTGCCTGGGTGGGGGAGGCCTTGTTCAAGAGCGGCTCTCTGGGCCGGAGCCAGATCCCTGGCCTGGGAACGTCCTCCACATGAGACATGGGGACGGACGGTCCTGTGCTGAGGTCGGGCAGCCGCTTCTCGCTGACCTGCCCGTGGGCCGGCAGCGGGCCGTGTTGGGGCTTCTCCCGTTCTGGTCCTGTCGTGTGGTCACGGTCAGAGGCTCTCAGCTGCTCCCCTGGGTCCCTGGTCCTGCCATCCACCCTGAGGGCTGGTGCTGGGCCTTGGGCCGGGTGTTGGTTGGTCGGGGCCAGTGGCCCCAGTGCCTTGAGGGCATGTGGAGCAGATCCCGTGCTCTCCAGCCACCCTCCGACCGTGGTCACTGTGCCAGAGGCTGGGCCCCAGGTGATCTGCGCAGAGTTTCGGTGCTCGGCGCCCCTCCAGCCCCCCTCCCCCTTCAGAGCAGGCAGCTGACACTGCCCCACGCTCTGGGTTCTGACCTGAGACGCTTCCCCGTCACGGGCCGGTGCCTCCCGGCTAGGTTCAGAGGCTGAGTCAGGCACAGGACGCCATTGGTGGAGACGGGGCTCCGTGTGCAGAGGAGATGGGCTTGAGGCAGCTGAGGGCAGTTTCCTGCCGACATCCATGGGAGGGGGGTGCACCGTGGGCAGCACGGGCTTCCCGCACCCTTCCCTCCCCCCACGCCTCAGTGGGGACAGAGTGGGGCGGGCGGCCCCGGGCCAGTGGCCCTGGGACCCGGTGAGCGCTGGCAGCCCACACAGTCGGGGCCAGGGCATGGCAGGCACCTGTGACGGCCTTTCCGTTTGTGCCCGGCGTGGAGAGCCAGGGCGGGCTCTTGTGGGAGAGACGGCGAGTCCGGACACCCGGCCCGAGCCCAGCCCCTCCGAGTCCCACGGGGCCCAGCGAGGTCTGGCCATCGCACAGGTGAGAGAGCCAAGGCTCGGGCCCCAGGTCCCTGATGTCCACCATGTTCCCACCCACCTGAGTGCAGGGCTCCACTCACACCTGAACAGGCAGGTGAGTGTAGGCTGGGCCCCCCCCCAGCCGGCTCGAAGGCCAGCCCCGCTGCTCCCTGGATGGGGGCCCCATTGGCAGGACCTGGTGGGACAGGTGGTGGAGGTGCCCTGGGCCCGGGCAGGCGGGGCGCTGGGGGCGTGTTGGTCGGGAACCCCCAGTCAGCACAAGTTTGCCTTCTCCCTCCTAGGACAGGTCCCGGAGGAGGAGGCTGGGCGGAGCGCACAGAGCCGGGGCCCGCCCAAAGCCATGTGTGTGAATGGCACCGAGTCAGCCCAGTTGAGCGCCAGGTCGAGGGCAGAGCGCCGGGCCAGTGCCGCCTCCAACCCCGCCCGCAAGGCCTGCTCGGCCAGCAGCAAGATTCGCCGGCTGTCAGCCTGCAAGCAGCAGTGAGGGTGGCCGCCTGCAGGTGGGAAGTGGCGGGGACCGGAGGAATGGGTTGGGGGTGTGCCGTGGGCACTGCCCTGCTTGGCTGGTGTCACTGTCACGGCCTGTGCCTGTCACCCCCAGGGTCTGGGTTGGAGGTCACTTTCATCAGGGCATTGGCCACACACTGGGGTCGGGGGGCGGCGTGTGCAGGATCAGGGCCCCTAAGCCGGCAGCCTGTCTTGCAGACCTGCGGGGCTCACCCCCACCCCGCCAGGCTGCTTCTGCAACAGGGCGATGCTGACATCAGACCAGGCTGGGGGTTGGGGGGTGAGCAGGCCAGGAGGGGCTGGGCTCTGACTGAGGCCGTCATCTCCCCTCCGTGCTTCCTCTTCCCAGCCCTGACCGCCCAGTCCACAAAGGGTGATTGGGTCCCAGAGGCACTGGAGACCCCATCGCCTGCTCAGGTTGTGAGCAGTGGGGTAGGGGCCTGAGGCTACACAGCCCCTGTCCAGCCATGTCCCCTCTCCCAGGGAGCTGCCCCTGAAACACCTCCCAAGGAATTTGTATGCCAGCAGCAGAACCAGCCAGGTGGGGTAGGAACTCTTTGGAGGGAGGCCCGGTTCCGTGGCAGAAAGGCCGTGCTTAATCCCACCAGGTGTGGCCAGAGATGCCCGGGGTGGCTCTTGAGGCAGCGCAGCCCTCCCTAGCCTCCTGAGGCGTCTGACAGCACTGAGGCATGACCAGGCCTCAGTTTCCCCACCCTCTGGGCGGCCCCAGGGGGGCCTGCTTCCTGGGATGCAGGGCCTTTCGTTGACCCAAAAGTGACCCACCTTCTGTTCTGGTCTCAGCCTGTCTCCAGGAGCCCCGGCCAGGTCCTGCTCAGTCTTCCCGCCGACTGCTGGCCTGCTGCTCACTGCCCAGGAAGGCCGCCGCTGCACCCTTCGTGCTGACTGCCCCTCCGGAAGCCGGAGGGTCCTGGAGGGCTGTGGTTGGGGGACAGCAGGGACTGGGGTCCGCCCTCCCTTGGTGGCCGGTGGACATGACCTCCTGCTGACTGCAATCCTGTGCTGAGCCCCTTCCCCCCGCCGGGGGAGGAGGGAGTGGGCCCGGCGCGGCCCCACGCCAGCCCTCGCCATGCACTTTACGTTGAGACTACTGGTTCTCGCCCGCCCCGACCCCTCTTTTTACTCTGCCGCTCGTTAGCGCCTCCCACACCTGGTGATGTGTTCCCACCAACCACAGCCTCAGCGGGACGGGCAGGACAAGTGGGCCTGTCGACCGAGATGCATGCCCAGTGCCCAGGGGAGCCCGGCGGCTGCCTTGTTTTCATTGTTTGGTTGGTTCTTTTTTCTTCTTTTTTAAGAAAAAATAAAACAGGTGGATTTGAGCTGTGGTTGTGAGGGATGTTTGGGAACTGTGGGTGGCAGGACGTGCTGTCAGGTGGGGGGGGCGGTCTGAGCCTGAGCCTGGGGCCCTTTGTGGACCCCACAGTGGACGGGCTGGCCCGGGTCTGCAGGTCTTGCTGGTGATGCCGGGTGGAAACGTGGGCCTCCCACGCGTGTCTGCCTCTGGCCATGCTGGATCTCTGTGCTCTCTGGTGACCCGGCTTCCCCAGAGCTCCACAGGCCCCTCTGCTCAGCCCAGGGGCCACAGCTCCACAGTGCAGTGGCCAGGGGGGCCTGATCCCCTTTCGCCCAAGGCCTCTGTACTCCTGGGTCCCCAGAGAAAACCCAGAGCAAGCAAGAGTATGCAGTAAATATAATCAATCAGAAAACAGAACACAAACTCCATCACTGGATGGTACACAGACAGCACGAAGCTTCGAGGAGCGGGGCAGGGCGACGCGGCCGCTGGCGAGGGCTGCCCCATCTTTTGGCAATAAATAAAGCTTGGGAAACTTGAAACCTTGACCGTTTGGGTTTTGTGTCTCAAACACTGGTGAGTCCTGGCTGCTCTTTGGACGGTGTGGTTACGGGAAGTGCGGCCCGCTCAACATGCGGAGGGCGGGTTCAGGGTGCAGACACCAGGAGGGAGGGGACCGGGGGGCGTGTACAGGGCTGGGGGCGGCGGCGGCGAGTACGGTTATTGCTCGGAGGGGGCGCGGACTGCCGCGAGCACTCGCCGCGGTGAGGTAAACGGCTTCGGGGGCTTGGAGGCCACGGCCTCGAGCTAACCTCACAGCCCGGGCCCGCGCGCCCTCTCTTCGCGGAGCCTCGGCGCCCCTTGGTCCCTGCGCGTGCGCCTTAGCGCGAACTCCGGCGCGTGCTAAGCGGACGCGTGCTAAGCGGACGCGTCGCTAGGCTCGATTGGTGTTGGGAGGGGCGCTCTGCGCATGCGTCTCGCGCAGTCGGCTCGCACTGCCCCTCCAGGATGCAAGCCCTACGCATGCGCTTCCCGTTGCGTCGTGCAGTGGACGCGGCGGCCCCGGTCACTAGACCGAGGCCGCTGTCTGGGGCCAAGGGAAGTTGAATGTGGTCCTCGGAACCCCTAAGTTGAGAATCCGCCACACTCCCTTTAGTCGACCCGATGAAGTGCCCGGAGGGGACTGTGTGCGTGCGCATTTTGGGCTGGCGCAGGGTGCCTGGGGCACTGCGTGCGTGCTCGAGGCCCGCGGTCCCAGCGCAGGCGCGCCGGGGCGTCGCACTTCAGGTGTGTCCAGCGCCGAGGCCCCGCCGGTGCCGACTAAGCTGACGAGGTGGGCGCGGGGTGCAGGCTTAGACCGGGCTGTGGTCGGGGGACGTGGGCGCGGCCACGACCAGCGCAGGGGCCACGGCGACAGGCTGGGCCAGGCGTGGCGGGAAGAGCCTGTCGTCGAGGCTGGCCGCCAGCTTATCCAGCAGCGCGCCCGGGGACCCGGCGCACAAGCCGGAGCCAGGGCAGCCGCCGCCGGGCTCCTCCTCGATGACGGGGATGGGAGGCGCGGCCGGGTCGTCGCCCACACGGATGTCGGGTGGGCAGTCGACGCTGTCTCCGCGGCGCAGGGGTGCGCGTGCGGGGCGGGGGGCGCCGGGCTGGGCTGCGGGTGGGGCGGAGGGTGCGGCACGCGCGCCTGGGTCGCTGTGCTGCCGGCCGCGCTGCTGCCACTGCTTGCGCGTGTGGGGGTGCGGGTGTGCGCGCGCGCGGTGGCGCGCTGCGGCGGGAGGGGCGTCGTCGAAGTGCGGGTCGTGGCGCAGGAACTCGTGGAACAGCGCGTCTGTCTTCTCATCGATGCTGTAGTCGCGGCGCGGGGCGCGGCGAGGCCAGGCGCGCGGGCTGCCAGGCCGGGCAGGCGCCTCGGGCGCGGGACCCTCGAAGCTGCAGCCCACGGTGGCTTCGCGGCCCGAGCTCGTGAAGGAGGAGCGCTTCTCGGGCGCGCTGGGGGGCCCGTCGTCGCCCGCGCCGCGGCCCTCGATGCTGGCGTAGCCGCTGTCCATCTGCAGCAGCTTGCGCGGCCCGCCCGCCTCGCCGTCCGCCGTCCGTGGTGTGGGCGGCGGCGAGGGTGGCGGGAAGGCGGGTGCGGCGCCCCCGGAGCCCGAGCTGTCGCCGCTGCGCACCGAGTCGCGGTCGTTGCCGCTGCTGCTGTGGTCTGAGGCGGCGGCCGCGTGCAGCTCGAGCGAGGCGCGCAGGCTCCAGATGTCGCGGTAGATGGTCTGGGCCTGCTCTGGCTCCGCGTCTCGCTCACCATCTGAGTCTTGCTGCTGCTCAGGCCCCGCGCTGACGCCGCACTCCGGGGGAAACTCGGGGCTCGCTCCTCCTGCGGCGCCCACCTCCTCGGCTGCCTCTAGCCTGCAAACCAGGCCGCAGCCGTCAGGAGGCAGCCCAGGCCCCCCGCACCCCCTCCCCGGCCACCCTGCCTCTGGGTCCGGGAGGGTGGGCACGGGTGGGAACCCTCTAGGGTTGGCCAGGCCCTGTGGAAGATGATGTATTTGCATGCTGCCTGTTCACTCTGCACTGGATGCTTTTCGAGTAAACCCAGAGCCATCCTGGCGCCTGCCGTTCAACCAGGGCCTCTTACAAAATGTGACCAGAGCATCTGCTGCCACTGCAGGAGGTTGGCCCCTCGCCCAGAAAGAGTGAAGGCTGTTCTCGAGAGATGGCCTTCTTTGACTAAGAGCTTCGTGTACCAAGGGGTGGCTGGGGATGGACTGGACCAAGCAGGGTCCAGCTCAGCCCCTACGCCTGGGTGACTCTGGGTGTGTCGCCTCAGCCCCCCACCATAGACTGACAAGTAGCCAGGAGGAAGATACACACAAAGGAAGTGTTAACTACCCAGACCAGGAAATGCCCAAGAGTCGGGAGCCCTGCTCCCGGGATCCAGTTCCCCATCCCACTGACGTAGGCCCAGAGCTTCAGCAGAGTTGTCCTTGGGCTGGGGGAGGGGGTACCGCTGGCAGAAGTGGTCACAGCAGTTTCTGAGTAGCGGCCTCCAGCCCTCAGGAGCATGGACAGGCAAGAGGGACCCTGGGGCCACAGCGGAGCCCTTCAGGCTCCACCAGGAAGCAGCGATACCCACGCGGGCACATACCCACAGCGGTCCTACTTGAGCAGGCATTCTGTTTTGGAGGCCCCGCCCGCCCCTCTACCCTTACCCAGTCTCCCCCTGCTTCCCTCCTCTGGTCCGTGCTGGAGAGGTGGCCCCAGCAAGGCAGCCTCCGGGAAGGACGGTGGAGCCAGAGGAACACGAACACGACCGCCTGTCCGAAGGGCGGGGAGAGCGCTCCCTGGGCCACCTATGGGGGATGGGGTGGGGCAGGGGCCCACCCCTAGCACCTCTATCTACTGAAAAATACCTGCCGAGAGTGGGGGGCGGGCTGGCGGGGCTGGTGGGGCTGGCCAGAAAGGGGCGGGGGCTCGGGAAGGCCACAGTGTCGCCAGCGCTGGCGATGTACTGGATGAAGTCCACGTGGGGGGCGTCCCCCTCCTTGTGCTCCATGCTCTCGCTGGCTGCCCGCTGCCGCTGGAAGTGGTGTCGCTTGGGGGAGCCTGTGCAGAGGAAGGTACAGCAGCCTGCCTGGGCCCCTCCCACCGCGGGCCCCACCCCCTGACCCCTGAGCCAACAGAGCCAGCCTGGACCAGGTGAGCATGTACCCAGCCGTGCAGGTGGGGAAACCAAGGCACCCAGGGCAGAAAGACCAGGACCGAAAGCCCAGCAGCCAGGGCGGGCGGGACTGGAGGTGCCAAGGTGGCAGCATTGGTCCGAGTGGCCCTGGCAGGCAGGTGTGGTCAGAGCACAGCCTTGTCCTGGACACCAGGTAACAGACACAGCCCGGCTAGAGTGCCGAAGAAGGCCGAAGGTGGGGGAGAGTGAGGGACAGGTGAGGGGGGAGAGGTGACGCCCTCTCCTGCCAGTTCCAGCCCTGCCGGCCCAGGGCCAGGACCCTCCCACAAGGGAGGCCTCAGTGGGAAAGCCTCAGGGGTGGGGATGACAGTCACCCAGCAAACAGGTTCTGGGTGCTTCTGTGCCTGCATTTGCCTATAATCAACCTCCCGAATCACAGGCTCTGTCTGGGCTCCCAATGGCACAGTGGGACGAGCCCTCCCCTCCCCTCCCCTCCCCTCCCTGGCCAGGAGCACTTCAGCCAGAACTCACCCCTCCCCCACCCCACAGCAGCTGGAGTCGGGCCCCAACAAGGGGCCACGCACCTTCCCTGGCCTCCAACACTGCTCGTCCCCTCGCCCCGCCTTTCCTGGCAGTGGGACCCACCACCTCCGCCACAGGGCAGCAGGCACCCCAGCGCCTGGCCCCACTGAGCTCCCATGAGCAGGGATGGTTGTAGCTGTTGGTGCCACCTCCCCCCCCAAGACACACATGCATGGTCCTTGGGTTGAGGTTTGGAAGCCCTGTATCCAGGGCCCCGTACCAGGGGTCTGCAGGATCGAAGGCCCACCACCTGTAGTTGTAAATAAAGTTTTATTGGTCAAAGCTGTACTCTTTTACACGCCATCTAGGGCTGCTTTCATGCCACCGCAGCAGAAACACTGACCGCAGAGCCAGAAACACACCATGCAGTGCCTCGTAGGTGACGCTCGCTGATGCCCGCTCTAGCCTGACAACCCCTTGTTTTACCGGGGCTCAGCGTGCAGCCCTGGCTCTTCCTCCTGACCAGCTCTGACCTTGGGCGAGATGCCCGCTGGTAAGCGGGCGATGCCGGCCAGCATGGGGTGGGCGCTGGGGACCCCTCCCAGGGTGCAGAGCCGCCTGCTCCACATTCTCCTGGGGCCGCCCCTGGGCCTCACTCCCCACCAGGGACCACAGCTCACCTCTCGTGTCCAGACTGGACGCCCGCTGGCTGGGCTCCAGCTTCCATTTCTTGACCTTGAAGTAGGGGCTGGCCCCGTCCAGACTGGCGTGGCGCCTCAGGCGGGTGAAGAACTGCAGGACGGGGCCTGCCCCAGAGGCTGGGCCCGCCTCCCCAGGCCCTGCTGCGGCCCCCGGCCCACCAGGCTTGGCACTCCTGGCCCCTGCGTCCAACTGTGAGGGAAGAGGGATGCTCTCAGACCCCCCAGCCTCTCCCTGCTGCACTAGTGCCAGCCCAGCCCAGGCCACCCGGCACTCACACAGAAGGCAGAGGAAGAACAGGGGGCTGGGGGTGGGCTGGGGCCTCCTCCCCCCGAGACCCTGCCTGAGAGGCTCCCCAGGGCTCGGCCAGGCGCTGGCCACTCTGTTCCCCCAGCCCTGGACACAGGGGGTCCCGTCCCCTGGGCTGAGATGGGTCCCTGACCACACCCTCTGCAGCTGTTGGACTGCCCTGTGTGCAGGTGAGCCAAGCCGTGCATGTGCCCTGTGTGCCACCTGCCCCTCTTCCTCCCAAGCTCGGGGACCAGGCAGGGGGCCACAGGCTGCCCCGTCCTGGAGTGGGACGGGGGATGCATGCGCGGGGGCCTCACCGAGGTGCCTTCCCCAGAGTCACTGGAAGCCGAGGGGCTGATCTCGAAGTCGGCAGGGCCCACGGCCGAGTTGTAGGGGTCACCTGGCAGGGCGGAGCTGGGGCCCACAGAGCGGCCGGTGAGGGCCTTCCCCGGGGGCTGTGGGACAGAGCCGGGGTGGGGAGGAAGCAGTGACAGGTCAAAGAGCACGGGTGGGGGGGGTGCGTGCTGGACCCGCCACCCGCTGGACCCGACCAGGCCCCACTCCCCACCCGGAGGTGAAGGGCGCAGCCAGAGGGTGGGAAAAGTGGTGCCTGCTGGGGGAGGGTGGGCCGCCCCTGAGCTCCGGGCCAGCTGCCACCCCCAACTCACCTGGAATATGGCAAGGCTGGCCTTGAGGGCGGCCGTGGGGTGTGGTGTGGCGGCTGCACTGGCCTCGCCTGAGTCACACTCATGGATGGTGACGATCTTGAGGGGCGGCAGGTGCAGGTGGGTGAGGCGGGCGTTCTTCAGGTGGTGGAAGTCCCCCTCGGTCAGGGTGTACCTGCGCCCAGCGCGCCTGCCCGTCACCTTGGGCGAGCTGGGTCCCTCTGCCCACACCCCAGCGTCCTCCCTGGCCCCACCGTCACCCTGCCCGCCGGGAGTGGGGGACAGCCAGGCACCGGCGGGGGCCAGCTCCGCCCCACAAGCCCAGCGCAGCAAGGTGACCTCCCAGGTGAGCCCCGGCACTGGGCCCTCCTTACCGGCGGCCCTTGTCCTGCGCCTTCCGGCTCTGCTCAAACAGGGCCGCCTCGTTGAAGGACACCCGGCGGCCGGTGGAGCTGGTGGACAGGAAGCGCTCGGTCTCGGCGTCCTGGCCCTCGGGCTCCTCCCCCCTGAACTCGGGGTCTGCGAGGAGAGCCAAGAGAGGGTGGGCCCCGGGTGGGCCGCGCCGGGCGCCGGCGGGCGGCTGGGCTGCAGGGCCGGGTCGGGAAGGGAGCGCCGAGGGCCCGACTGACCACCGGGGGCGGGGTGGGGGGTGGGGGGCACTCGCTCATCCGCTCACACACTCACTCACGCAGCACGCGCCTGTGAGCACCTACGCGTGGGCTTAAGGAAACAGAGATGAGTCGGACTCGAGCTGCGCCCAGTCTGGTGGGGGAGACAGACAGACACAGATGGTCAGGCGGCCCGGGGGCGGGGGGCGGGGGACAGACGGGCGGCGACAGGCCTGGCAGGGCTCCTCACCTTGGGCAGGGCGGGCGCCGTTGTCCAGGTAGCTGGTGGTGGTCTTCTCTGCTTCCTCTGTGGCTCTGGGGAGGGGCAGCAGGAGAGCAAAGTGGGCCAGAGGACCCAGGGCGCTGCCCACGGGGTCCCCCGCAGGGCTCATGGCCACCGGGGCATCCTGAGCTCACGGGAGCCCACTCCCTCGGACCCACCCCATTCTCCCAGACTCCTGTGCAGACACGTGGACACCGTCACTCAGAAGCGGGCCCAGCGCCCCTGCGGCGCGGGCTCTCAGGCTGACCTGTCCCAGCTCCCCTGCGGGTTGGGGCGTGGGGCTGGGGGCCCGCGCACCTGTGGACGCGCCTGTGGACTTCCCAGCAGCGCCTGCAGAGCAGCAGCGCGCCCGACAGCACCACGAGGGTGCCCCCAACGAAGAGCGCCATCACCACCACCAGCAGCATGTAGTTGTCCAGGACAGGGTCGGGCTCCCCCTGCGGGGCCAGCGTCAAGGGTCAGGGCCTGTGGGCGTGGACTCTGGCGGCCCCGCCCCCCACCCCCCCCTCACTCACGGTGGGGCGGCCCGTGGCGTTGTCCCACGTCGTGGTCAGGGCGACCGTGGTGGAGGTGGTGGCGGCCGTGGCCATGGTGGCCGTGGGCTGCATTCTGAGGCTAGGAGGAGGGGCCTGGAGGGGCAGGGCCTGCTCAGCTCCAGCTCCTCTGTCCCTCCTCCCGCTTTCCCGGGAGCTCGAGCAGGGGACCACACAGGGCGGTGACTCACGAAGAGGTGGGGGGAGCCCCGAGGCAGCCCCCACCCGGGTCAGATCAGACATCCATGTCCCCATCTTTGAAAAGGGAGAGGCGCGTGCGTATCAACAGCTTCCCCAGCCGGTGGGGCCGGCCCGGCAAGGTGGCATGGGGCCGGAGCCCTGCCCAGGAAAGGAGAAGTGCCTCTGCGAGGAATAGGCAAACTGAGGCCGTCAACTCACTCCCGCCAGACCCCAGGGGCCCTGCCTGCACCATCAGAGAGCGGGAGGGGCCGCCTCGGCCCCAGGAGACTGGTTCCAGAATAGCGGGGACTCGGGCCATCCCTGGGGCTGGCCAGCCCGGGGAGGGGGCGGAGGGGCTGAGCGCCGGGACTCCAGGTTACGACTGGTGGATGTACAGGTTCCCCCTCCGCCCAGTACCGGTGGGAGTGAAAAGGCCAAAGGAGGCGCATCTGTTCCCAACCCTCAAGAATCTGGTTCCCATGGCGACTGAGCTAGCAGGCCAAGCTGGGGGGGGGGGGGGGGGGTTCCCAGGGAGCACTGGGGAGGGGGGGGGGCGCGGGGGAGGGAGGCCTCCTGCAGGGGCGGCTGGAGCCAGCCCCGGGCGGCAAGATGGCTGCTGCCGCCGCCGCCCGCCGGTGCCCGGTCGGCCGCGCGCCCCCGCCGCACCCGTCCCCGCCCGACCCGGCCGGGCTCCACGTCTGCCTGGAGCCGGGGGCACTGAGGCAGAGAGGGTCTCAGCTCTCGGGAGAGGGACTGCCTGGACCTTGCACCTGACCGCCCTCCCCAACACGCGGCTCTTCCCGGCGGGAAGGACCGGTGGCCGCATTCTGGAATCTCAGGAAACCGAGTCCGGGGCCGGGACGACCAGCAGCCCTGAGTGGGGACGGCGCGCGGCCCTTCCCCACAGGAAAGGGAAAGCCTGTGTACAGGTTCCAGCGCCCCCAACCCTTTGGGACTTTCACCCTCCTCGACAGCGGGGGAAACTGAGGCCCATAGCAGGGGAGGGTCCGGGAAAAGCCAGGTGTCCTCGGCACTTCGGGTCAGAGGCTGGCCGCGGCTCCCCTGCATTCTCGGGGGAGGGGGCGCCTCTATGTAGGTCGGGAAATGAGTTCAGGTTAGGGGGGAGGGGGCAGAGGCACAGGGACGATGACAGGAGACCAGGAAAGACAGCAGGAGGCCGAAGGGGAAGGGAGGTGGACTCCTAGGGAGCAGGTGGGGACGGGAGACCAGGGCGGAGGTTGCCCACGGGCCACCCTAAAGTCCTGCCGGGCCTCGGCTCCCGATCGGGCTCGCCACCGCGCCCACCCCCGCGTCCCCAACCGGCCCGGGGGACCGGGATGGCGAGCAATGAGATGCAGAAAGCCGACCTCGGGCACATCTCAACCCCGGGCTAAGCCCGGGGGCGGAAACGCCACGGCCCTCGCCGAATCTCTCAGGGGGAAACTGAGGCTGAGGGAGGGCGTGGGCGAGGGTCCCTCTCCGGGCCGCCGAAGACGGGTGCAGAGCCTGGCAGGTTGGCCCCCACGCCGGCCCTGGCCCCTCCGCTCCCTGCCTCCGGCCTCGCCGCCTCGCGGGAGAGGGCCGGTGGTCTCTAGCCAGGGCGGGCCGTGCGGCCTCGGCCTGTCCCCCGCCCGCCCCGGTGCAGCCCCAGGCCCGCGCGCCTACCTCAGCGCCGGGGCGCGCGGCCCATGGGCGGCGGGCGGGCTGCTGCACGGCGCTCCCGGCGGGCTGCGGCGCCCGGTAGCCGCGGAGCAGGCGGAGAATTTATGAATGGAGAGCTCGGCGCGCGGGGGAGGCAGGCGCGAGAGGAGGGGTCACACACGTGACCGCGCTGGCGGCCAGCCCGCTCCGACCCGCTCGGTGCCGCCCGGTGCTGCCGGGTCCCCGGCCGGCCGCCCCCACCTCGCTCGCCGCCGCTTCTCGCTTGCTCCGCGCCGGCCACCGCCTCCCCGTCCCTTCCGGCGGGGGCGGGGGGCGGAGCCTGTGCTCCTGGGCGCCCCCTCCCCACGCGAAGCCGCCCTCTCCCGAGGCAGCTGAATCTCCGCCCCCGGTCCCTGAGGCACGATTCCCCGACCTTCCCTGGATCCCCGGGGACGGGGGACCAAAGGGGTGTTGGTCCCAGGGCGCACGACTCCCCGCAGCCTGGAGTCCGGGGGTGCCCAGACTCCCTATCCATCGCTTCCCCGGTTTGGGAGTCTCCGGGGTGCACAGCCTAGGGACTCCAGGGCACATGTCCCACTTTTCTTCCCCTACGTGGGCAGCACTGTCAGGGTTGTCTTGTTGTTAGGATGAGCAGCAAAGATAATGGAACACAACGCATTCTGAGTGCCACCAGGGCTTGCCCGGGGTGGGGTGACAACAGGACTACCCCTGCAGAAACCCCATGCCTGGTCAACCCCAAGCTGCTCTTTCTCAGACAGTTGTGCCTCATCTTTCTAGGTGCTCAGGCCACCAATCTGCCACCAGCCAGGTCGTGGTCCCATCCCAGCCTGCAGTGAAAGAGGAAGGCCCAGTCCAACCCCAGGGCCTTTGCACGTGCAGGTGCCAGGCCCGGACAGCTTGTCCCCTCCGGAGCTTCCTTCACCTCTTTCCCAACGACGAAGTCTTCATCTCCTCTTGACTCCCTTTGCTAACAAAGCAACTCCCACCCCACATTCCGGAACTCTGCTGCGCTTTGCTTCTCTCCGAGGCCCTGCACGTCGTTGCCTGTTACTTGTTCCTCTGCGTTGTGTCCCTCCTCACCCCTGCCCCCACTGCGGTGACCTCCAAAAGCTGTTCATTTACAGCTGGGTCCGAGAGCAGAGCATAGCACAGAGGCGGCACCCTGGAGAGAAGGTGTGTGTCCAGTGGATGAAAGGGTGACACTGCCCAAGGAGGGCAAGGGGCAGTCAAGTGGACAATTACCCGGGAAGGCTGGCTCCAGGCGTGTGGGAACTGCATGGGCAAAGTCCCTGAGGTCTCCAAGTGTGTGGGCTGAAGGTGAATGTGTTGGAGGACCAGGGGGAGGCAGCTTGTGTTCCCAGCAGGGGAATGATGTGGTCCCTCTGGCTGTTTGTGGAGAAGGTGCTCTGGTGAAGCTAGGGGAGGAGCCTGTGGCCATCCAAGTCAGTAAAGTTAGCTGCAGGGGCCGAGCTGGGTGGCTTGTCGATGGATGGGTACACCAGAGAATTCCAGGATAAACCCGGGTTGGGGACCTGAGTAACAGGTGATGCGCCGACCCCTTGGCTACCCTGGAGCGGGGATTAGAGACAAGTCCAATAGATGGGTCTGAGAAGCATATGAGAATAGGCCTCCATTCCAGTAGGATCCAGGGTTCCGGGACGAGCAAGCCGTGCACAGGACGCACCCCTAAGAAATGGGAGCAGAGCTTCCCTCTGCACACACCTGACTAGGGCCAGGATGCCCAGCGCATAAGGACTGATTCCACGAGTACCTCTCACAGCGCTGACCTAGAAAGGGTGCGGGGGCCTGGGCGCCAGGCCCCTGGCCTCCCTGGTGTGGGAACCTCTTTCGGCCACAGCACCTGCCCAGCCACGAGCCCAGGTGTGACCCACCCCCACCCCCCGCGCCCTGCACCCGTCCGCTCCTCACCCAAGGCCCTTCCGGATGTGGACCCCAGCCCGGTCTAGCCGGACTCCACGTTTTCCCGGAGCCCAAGGTGGGGGCTGGGGCCCAACCCGGGGTGCCGACCTGCCCGCGCGCGGGGGCGGAGCGGTGACGTCAGCGCCGCGAGCGAGGCTGCGCGGGCCGAGGTGACGTCCGCGGAGCCCAGGGCCGCCCGCGCACGCGCCCCTGCGTCAGCAGCGCGCGGAGGCGGTGGCCGGGAGGGGCTGCGGGGGGCGCATCTCCGGGCGCGGCGCGCCCTCTGCCGGCGCCCTTAGGGGTGCAGCCAAGAGATTCCTACACCACTGGACGCTTACGGGAGCTGGACACTCCGCCTGGGATACCGTTCCCGGGACGCCTGCACCTCCTACAGTCACTGCCTGCCCCATCCGGCCCCCATACTCTGCTTTTTCATTTTAAAGTATTTGTCACCTCCTAACATACTGTACAATTTATTACGTTGAGTGTCTGTTAAACGCCCCCACCACCCCAAACTAGAGCAGGAATCTTAATATTTCCCTGATGTCTCCCCAGCGCCTGACATCCAATGAGCGCCCCCAAAATCTTGAATTAAGTGTCTTTTTCTCCGCGCGGGCTTCTGGTGCTCCCCGTGCAGAGCCGTGTAACCGACCCCCGCACCTGACCACCGGGCTGGGAGCTCTTGCCGGAAGGAAACTACAACCCCCAGCATGCCGCGCGTCCAGGCGGTTCGCCGTCTTCAACATCGCGCACAGCGCGCCGGTAGTCGTAGTTCGCGCCTGCGCCCTCGTCGGGATTCTTCTCCCAGAAGTCCTCGAGCGTCGTCTTCCTCGACCTCCAGGCCGCTGGCGTGCAGCCGGAGTCCGCCCGCCCCTGCTCTGCTCTCCGCCGTCCGCCCTCCATCATGCTGCCCGCTGCGCTCCTCCGCCGCCCAGGCCTGGGCCGCCTCGTGCGCCAGGCCCGCGCCTACGCCGAGGCCGCCGCTGCCCCGGCCCCCGCCGCGGGCCCGGGACAGATGTCTTTCACCTTCGCCTCACCCACGCAGGTTCGGACGTCCGCCGGGCTCGAGACCCCATTCTGGACCCCGCGCCCCTCCCCCGTGTGGCCCAGGATCCGAGCCCCCAACCCTCAGGTCGGCGACCCCCATTCCCGACCCGCGCCCCTCCCCCGTGTGGTCCGGGATCAGACCGCCCAACTTTCAGGTCGCTCCTCAGCCTCCCATTTTGATGTGCGCCCTTCCTCACGTGGTTCAGAACCTGAGTCCCTGGGCACCTTTTTTGTACGCTCCTCCCCAGGTGGCTCGCTGGTTCTGCCTTGACCGCGCCTCCTTACCCGAGGGCTAGGGTGCCTGGATTCCATTGTCAAGTAGACGAAGGCGCTGCAGTCCTGCACGAGGACCCCACCGAAGCATCGGCTGCCTCCGTGTCCCCCGTCAGCTTTCAGTCTTGCCTTGGCTGTTTAACTGCGGGGGAGACTTGACTGCTGTTCCCCGAGGGACTAGCCAGAAGTGACCCTTTCTTTATGTATCTTGTCTAGGTGTTCTTCAACGGCGTCAACGTTCGACAGGTGGACGTGCCCACGCAGACCGGAGCGTTTGGCATCTTGGCAGCCCACGTACCCACACTGCAGGTCCTGCGACCAGGGCTGGTTGTGGTCCACGCTGAGGACGGCACCATCTCCAAATACTTTGGTGAGTTGATTGGGAGGGCAGAGGAAAGGGGCTGGGTGGGAGATGCTTGTCTCAACGGGCTAGTTCTCATTTCATTTGGCAGTGTCAGGAAGAGCACCAAGGATATAGAACTCCCCGGCACTGGGCTGGGTGTGGTTAGGGATGTAAGTGGTCAGCAGTGGGCCGGGCGGGGGCCCATCGGAGGAGAAAGGATCCTCAATTCGGAAGAGGTTTTCCACAGCGTGGCC